ATTTGATTTGAAATTTTTTTTTCTCTCATTGCATGAAAAAAAATTGTTCACATTTCATTGTCAATCACATTGACGATTGAATTACCATTTTCTTTCTCTCTCTCCATTTGCTGTTGTTGTTGTTTCAGTTATTGTTATTGAAATCGATGAAATTGAATCCATGAATCCGGGTGTATGGAAATGAATAATTTTTTTTCCCATTTTATGCACATGGATTCCATTTATGTCAAATATAAATGTATGTGTGTGTGTGTGTGCGTTGGTCTTTGTCGATGTGTTAAAAGCATGAATTGAAATGGCGATATACAGAGAATAAATGAATAAATTAATTGAATTTCGTATCGAAATTGACAATGTTTATTTTGGCCAAAAAAAAAAAAAAAAATGTCTTGAGATTATTTGAACTGATCAATCAATCAGTGTACAGAGTTTTTTTTATTGTTTTACAAGAGACAAAAATTTTGATTTCCTTCGTCGTTGTTACAGCTGCTGCGAAATGTTATTCTTTGACCCTGTGTGTGTGTGTGTGTAACACACCACGCACACATGTTTGCATGGACATTCCCGAAAACCAGGAAATTCATTTCATTTCAAAAATTTTTTGATTTGAATTTTCTTTTTTTTTCCGACTAGAACCAAATTTAATTTTCAATTCAATTTTATTTCCATTTTCATTTTGCTGGATAGAATTTTGCATTTCATCATCCACATCATTCAAAATAAATTAATTATCAAATTGAAGACTGGAGAAAGAAATAGCAAAAAAAAAAATCAATTCATCTTGGGATTTCATTGTGTGTGTGTATTGAATTCAAACATTCACACACACACAACACACACACACAAACAAGCCTTAGGCCTTGTTGATGTTGAGCAACAATGGTATTAATGATGAATACCAGAATATTCATGAATCGTCGAACACATATATATATATATAGAATTCACAATTTCCATTACTATAGTGGCTTGTATATTCTGTGGCCATTGTTTTGGGTGGTCGATTTTTGTTTGTTTGTTTATTCACAACATTTCATTCATTTTTTTTTTTTTTTTTTTGCACTCTCCAAAAATTTTTTCATTGTTAGAATTAATTTCGGACAAAAAAAAATTTTCCGGAAAAATTCTTGAATTAGTCTAGTCGTCATAATAGTATTCTTCCTTGCTCTTTCTCTCCTGTTCATCATCGAATTTTTGTTTTCATTTCTCTGTGTATTTGTTTTTGTTTCCGTCCAAATTCAATAGAATTTGTTCTGTTTGTTTATTATTAGTTTTTTATGACCAGAATTTCGTAATTTTTGTCTTATCCAGTTTCATCCACAATCAATAGAATTTGTTCTGTTTGTTTATTATTAGTTTTTTATGACCAGAATTTCGTAATTTTTGTCTTATCCAGTTTCATCCACAATAATTATCAATTATTTATCGATTAATTATTTGGATTTATTTTTTCTATAATTAATTTACTTGTTTTGCTTCCAATGTCGTAAATTTTTTTTTTGCATCTTCATTATTCACATTAGTCTGTTGATTATAATGAGAGAGATTTTCATTCATTGATTAATCATCGTTTTAATACTGTTTGACCATTGGTCATCATAAAAAACTGCTCCATAATGGACATTGTTTTTTTGCAGTATTTGTTGTTGTTGTTGTTGTTGTTGTTATTTCTTGATGTTTGTATCGAATTTCAAATTAAGGGAAAAAAATTCTTCTAAATCCTATCACATTTAATCAATGTTTATGTGATGGAAAGTTTTCATTAAATTTTTTTTTTATTTGTTTTGTTTCTTGGTGTTTTGTTTCATCATCATCATCATCATTATATTACAATTGACCGGTCAAACAAAATTATCATCAGAATCTGGACAATCATTGGAATTTGTTCATTCAATTCAATCAAGTTTTTTTTTCATTCTCGGATATCAGTTTTTGTTTTTTTGTTTCACGAATATCGGGTTTGTTTGTTTATTTTTATCATTTTCTTTTGTTTGCTTGTGGGTGTGTGTGTATGTGTGTTCGTCAAAGCAAAGGAAATGTGATAGGAACGACAAAAAAAAACACACGAATGAATGAATTCCAATGAACTAATTGATGATAATAATTCCAACGCCTTAATCATGTCGTGTCATATGATAATCGATATTTTTTTTATCTGGTTCTTGGTCAAAGTTAATATATCGATATATCGATATGTATGTCTTTGATGTGAATATTCAGGTTATTAATCTTGACACACACACACACACGCAAACAAAAGAAAAATGTTCCCGGAAATTTTTTTCCCGAGACTTTTTGGTCAAACAAAAGATTTTGTATATAAAAACTAAATGAATAATGTTTTTTGATTCCATTTGACACACACACAAACAAACAAACATTTTTTCCTGTACCATTTGTTACCCAATAACAATCGATCATTTTGCCTTTAGAAAAAATAACAAAAATTCTAATGGAAACAAATCGAACAGCAGCAAAAAAAAAATACACAATAACAACGATAAAGATGTTGTTGTTTCCAATTTTTGTACTCACAAAAACATATCCATACATCACCATTGTGCATTTGTCATTTTTTTTTTTTTTTTGTTTTATCCATAATAACTAGGTAACTAGATTCCAATTTCAGACATCATTATTTCATTAAATCATCATACGGTGATGATATTAATGGTCATTTGGCATTTCTTTCTTTCTTCTTTCTCATTTATTATCGTCGTCATCGTCGTTGATGATGATGATAGAATAATGATATTATAATCCGATTATTTTCATATCGATTTTCATCATTTTTTTTTCTTCGTCTTTCTAATTTTCTACATTCGGTTCGTTGATTTTTAATTCTGAAAATGATTTGTGAATCGTCGTTGTCTTTTTTTTTCTTTGTGAATATGAAAATCTAAAGTTTGTTTCTTTTGGCGTATTTGTTGCCAAGTTTTCTATTTTCTTTCAGTTTGTTTTACTTGTTCCGGAAAGTTTTCGTTTTTTCCATCAAATATTATTCTTTTGATTGTCGTTATGGTATTTGTCGTCATTGCTTTCCGGTCGTTGATTTTTTTTTCATAATCATCATCATCATCATCATTATTGGCGGTGGTAATGTTTTGAGTTTTTTCTTTTGAAATCAACAACCACCAAAAACACACAGAAATGGAGATTATTTCTATATTTCTTGATCTTTCTGTTCAAGTCTGTGTCAAAGAATAATCAATTAGAGCCAATCGATCATCATTGACTCGTAATGATTGATGAGGCAAACGAATCAAGATCGTTGGTCATTTGTTTCATTTTAATTAAATCATCCCCATCATCATCATTGGTCATGTACAAATCAATGGTTGGAAATTATTTAATTTTTAAAGCAATTCTTTTGATGATGGAAAAACTTTACAGAATTTTGCGAAAAAAAAACAGAAAAACATTGTTTCAAAATCTTGATTATTTTGTATCTGTCTCTTTTTACTACTGTTTATATTTTGATTTTATAAATCACGACGATGATGATGATGATGATGATGATAAACCCAGCAAGAAGAATATCAACACAGCGATATAATGTTGAAATGATTCTTATGAATAGGAATTTTGGAAAAAAAATTCCTTTTACACACACACACACACACACAACATACACTGATTGCGCATGTTCTTTTTTCAAACATTATATTCTGGAAAGCATATATTAAATAGAATTCATGACCACAACAACAACAACAACAGAAAAAACTATAGAAAAACATCCATTTGTTTTCCATCTCAGAATCGGCGCACGGAATCCAATTGAATGAATGAATGAAAAAACGGAAAAGAAAATATTACCTTTCAAGTACTACAAACAAACACACACACACACACAAAACACTTGCATATCGACAACAGTCGAGTATGGATCATCATTGACTAATTTTATATCGATTTTATTGATGTTTGTGTTTCTGTAAATCATCATGTGATTCAATTCGATTGAATTTTTTTTAAGTGTTAATCATCATCATCATCACCAGCACAGTAAAAGTAAAGTTTTTTTTTTGGCCAAGTAGCGGCACAATGTTAAAGTTAGTAATAACCTATGCTAAAAAGTATAATACTCCATATATCCGTATTTTCTATGCTTTACCAAACCTTGTGGGATAAAATTTTTTCCCCACTTCCAAATGATTCAATATTTCATTTCATAACCATATAATTACAATTTGTAGACAATTACAATTATTGCTGTTGTTTCATAATAATTTCTCTCTCTCTCCCTCGTTCGTCCACAGGCTAGGTTATTATTATCATCATAACTTTAATAATGATAAGGAATTTTTTTTTACTGATCCAATTGAATCAAATTGATCATTGGAATGGCAAAGAAAAAAAATGATACAAGAATTAATTATTAAACACACCAGTTCTTGGAACAAAAAAAACCAAATTCTGCTACATATAAAGGAAAAAAATAATGAGAAAAACCAATCTATATTGCTTTTTGAAATTCCAAACATTTTGGAACACTAACGAAAAAATAAAAAAAAGTGAATATAAGAAAATTTGAAACTAATTATCATTGTCCTTTGAAAACAGAATCAAAGAATGAATGAAAGAATTCATGTTGGATATGAGGAAAAAAAAATTTTTATTCTTTCTTTTAATTCTGATTTTAGTACGCTGATAATTATGATTATTAATTATTTTTTTTTCGCTTCCAGTGATTATTATGGATGTCTTTCATCATTTTTTCATCATCATCGTCATTGATCAGTGCAACATTTTTGATCTAGATTCTATTTAGTTTTCTGGTGTGTGCACCAGTAAATGTGTTTATTTGTTTTTGAATTTTCACCATCTCTGCAAATATAAAACCGGAAACATATTCTCAGCCATCATCATCATCATCATCATCAAAAATAGTAATGAAAGCAGCACCAGCATTAACATTGTCATCAGATTAAGAATTTCTTCTTTTCTCAAACATAATCAACAACACTCATTCATTCGTTCAAGTGTACATACACACATACACACAAACAAAGTGCAACATTTACAAATTCAAATGTAAAACTTTTTCAAAATAAAGTTTTATATTAATGTTTCAATCGAAACAAACAAACAAACAAACAACAACAACAACAACAACAACAGGCAATCATTGAACGACCGAACAAACAAACAATAGGAATACGAAATTGATTTGTAAATGTAAGTATTAACGAAAAAGAATTATGCCAAAATTTCTTGTTTTCGATGATAATTTCATTCATTTATTGGTGGCAATGTGAATTTTGTTTTTTTTTCTAATTAATTTGAAAATGAAAATGAACGATTCTATGTTTTCTCTCTCTCTGGCCATTTAGAATAAATAATGTATATATTGTAGTGTCGTAATTTTTTTTTTTGTTAATTTCTACTGGCTGGAATTTATTTTTTTTTCCAAATGGGCAAGCAAAAAAAAAAAATTCAAAATCCATCCCAAAAGATTCCATGCCAATGATAATAATAATGATTTTGTTGATGTTATCATCATCATCATACATATATATATATAGTGAGGATTTGAATTTGTAGCCAAGTTGAATTTATATACAATAATAAAGTTATTCAAGTTTGTTTATTCCAAATTCTGTCTCTCTCTCTCTCTCTCTGGTCTTAAGGGGATTTCTATAAAATTCTGATTCTCTCTAATGTTTGTTTGTGTGTATATGGTTGTAGAAAATGGAAAACAAACATCACAAAAACAAAAGTTAGCCAGATTTTTCAGTTATTTTTAGTAGAGAAAAAAAAGAAAAGAATTTTTTTTTTTACTTTTAATTTCACAATCACACACACACACACACACACACAGCGAATGAGAGACAGTGGCAGAAAGTTTTTGTGATTTGAAACTTTTTCTTAGAATTTTTGTTGTTGTTTTTGTTGTTGAAATTTCAACCATAACTTTATTGCAAATTCTATTGTCTGTGTGTATGGCCACAATGTGATGATGTTTTGAATGACAAAGATGAAGAAAAAAACACAACGAAAATATCTTGTCATATTCTGGTTAATCATATATTTTTTTTAATTTGAAAATCAATTTTTCATTTTTGTTATTATTATTGTTGTTGTTGTTGTTGTTGTTGTTGTTGTTGTTTGGTGAAATTAAAAATCTTTTCAATCTACAGTTATCTCTTGTAGACACAATTATTTCATTCATTCATCATCATGATGACAACCAGGAACAGAAAAAATCAGATTTCGGTTATTGTTGTTGAAATCTGATATATTCATCATTATGAACGGTATTATCCGTCATCATCATTGAATTTTTATTTTTTTCTGTCTGTCTGTTTGTTGTGTTTAAACAAAAATGAGTTATGAATTTCAACACACAATGCAAATAACAACAACAACAACAACAATAAATAATAAATAAATGATGCTAAATGTTGCCATCTTTGTCGGATTATTTTGACTTTGCAATCAATATCAATTTACGTGAATCCATCACCATCATCAGCAGTTGGTTGGCTGAAAAGTTTTACACGGTAATTATTCGGTCGATTGGTCATTATTTTGGTTATAATCGTTTTTTTCTTCATAACCTGTAATTGATGTAGACATTTTAATGGTGGACAAAGATGGAAGCCTTGAAAAAAAACGAACGAATAAACAAACAAAATGAAATTAAGACAAATTTACAAATTATAAATGGATATAAAACGTCGATAAATAGCCAAGTAAAATGGATAGATTAATGGCCATAGAAAAAAACGGTTGCTTTTTTTTCGGTGATGTTTATGGCTCCACAATTTGTGTGTGCGTGTGTGTATTTCCTAAATCATTTATTCAATTGGTTAATCAAATTGTTGACGACTGTATTATTTTTTCGTTTTTCGCTTCTATACTTAAACAAACTATAATCGTTTGATAATGTTTTCGTCTTTTTTTTTCTTGTTTGTTTGTTTCTTCATCATTGTCTATCATCAAAATAAAAATGATCTTTTAAGCTTTGAAAAGCAGTTTATTTTATTTTTTTTTTTTTTTTCAGCCGGAAAATGGAAAAAAAAGACAAGAAAAAAAAGAACCAATATGTGTGTGTTCTCAGTATTTTTTTTTTATAGCAGTAATTTTCATTGGAATTTTAAAATGAAATGCGATTATTTATTCTTGTTGTTATTGTTGTTTTTTTTTTGCTTGCCGATACAATCATTTGATCCATCGATCGATGATTATTTTTTTGGTAAATACTGGCCATATTCTTTTTCTTCTTCTTTTTTTTTTTTTGACATTCTTTCTTGTTTATCGATGAAAATTTTTTCATTCATTATTTATTCTCGAACCAAAAAAAATGGAGAAGAAAATTCTTTTCAACTACCAAATATAACTGATTCCAATATTGATGTTGAATTTTTTTAATTTTTTCCTCTCCATTCTCTATCGTGTTCATTGAATTTTTCTTAATTTCTTGAAATTTTTCTGAAATTTGTCATAAAAAAAAATGTGAACGTCAACTTTGATATTTTTCCTGTTTAAAAATGTATATTTTTTTTGCAGTGATCATAAATAAATTTTTTTCGTACGGGCCGAATTTCCGATAAAATGTGAAGAATGGTGAGAATTTAAAAGCGTAATGGAATGGAAAAAAAATTCTTGCAGTGAATTTCATTTTCATTTTCATTTTTTTTCACTTTTAAAATACATAGAAATAACCTTTTTTTTGGTATTGGTGCATAAAAATTTTTTTTAGACCGTAATCATCATCATCATCATTCTGAAATTGTTTTGGATCAACATTCAATTTATTTGTAAAAATTGTGTAAATGTTTATTTTTTTTTTGTGTAAATTTATTTTCTTCTCTTCCCATTTTTATTCATTGTTTTTTGTTTTCATTGAATCAGTTGAATTAGCTTTTGTTGTTGTTGTTGTTGCTGCTGCTGCTGCTGTTATAATTGAATTGGATTCATTCAATCATGAACATCGTGGTATCATCATCATCGTCGTCGTCGTCGAACAATGTAGCCTGTCAGAAGCTCCGATTCATTGCGGTTTATTCTGTTTTGTTCTGTTTTGGTTTGTTTTGTTATGGTTGTCGGCTTGCTTATAAATACCGTTGAACGGAAAAGAAAAAATTATTCTTGTTTTTTCATTTCATTCATGATATTCAGATTGAATTTAAAATTGCTCATTGATATGATGTGAAAATGGAAAATTCCCTATTTTTTCCATTTGGCCAATTCTCGGTGGCGATGGAATTTTTTTTCACGGATAAAGTAATAATAAATTCAATGGAAACAAGAATTTCATTACAAATTCTGTGAATTTTCATGAAAAAAAACAACAACAACAACCAAATTATTATTTGAATGAAAAATTTTACAATTTCAAATTCCATTGTATTGATTTTTTTTTTTTTTTTGCTTTCATCCAAAATCCACCTGGGTTTTTGTTTATTTTTCAAGCCAGAAATCGAATAAATCGAATCAAATCAATCGAAATCTGAAATCAATATATATTCTAATCAATGTGTTTTTTTCATTCACCAAAACAAACAAAAAAAATTCAATGTAAATGCAAATCATCATCATCGTCATTACTGCATGTTAGAAAAATTGTTACATTCATATACAATGTAATCATTATGATTTGGAAAACAACTTGATTGTAAATAATGATGTTTGGTGAATGGAATGAAAAAATTATCAAGGTAAAAATTTTTCGCTCTCACTTGTCAATTATTGTACAAATTATTATTACGCATCATGATCATTTTCATTTTTTTTTTTTTTGTTTCATTAGATGAACGAATTGTTTGTAATGTTCAGAATGTCAAACAAAAAATGTCATATATTGATCAAAATTCATTAATATTCACAGCGTTAATGATAATGATGATGATGATGATGAAATGAAAAGTTTTGTTTTTAGATCTTGATTATAGTTAAAAAAACGGAATAAAACAGAATGGCAAGAGAGGGAAAACGAGCAATATGGTATAGAAATTGACAAGTTTTTTTTTGGAAACAAAACAGAACTACATGAATGTATTTTTTCCACCTACCCACCTGGTTTATAGTTGGTGACGTTTTTTCATATTTTTTTTATCGAGAATATTCTTTTGAAAAGAATGACAAAACAACAACAGCAAAAAACATTAACCATCAACTACCTACCTACACACACACACACACAGTCAAGTAAAAACATAAAAATTTTTGTCATTTTTTTTTTGTATTTCGCAAGAATTTTGCTGTTTGTTGCCTCAAGAAACAATGATTGAATTTACAAAAATTGAAGATGATATTACACCGGACAAATTCATCAAGTTTTTGATTAAACAAGAATCCATAGCCGAAAGAAGAGATAAGTGGGAAAGTTCAAACAATGAAAGTTCACAAAACGCTAATAGAAATGCTAGATGCAATACAATCAGACCAGAAATATTCTATTGCAAATTTCATAACAATTATCAACATTCCTCAAGTCGTTGTGAATTATCGATAACAGAAAAATTGAAAATTGTTAATCAAAATAACTGGTGTAAAAAATGTGCAACGCATCACAAAACAATTGAATGTATTCGAAAGAATCTCCAATGTAATTCATGTGGGGAGGATCATCTCAGCTACATGCACAATCTTATCAAAAATGAAACAAATGTTAAAACGACAGAATCTGATGAAATGGTCCAACACGTTCAAGAAACAAAAATTGCTATAAACAAAGGTGAAAATTCTTACGCTGAAACCGCAACAGCTAGAATTGTGGCTAATGGTAAATTTGAAGATCTAAGAATGATTGTTGATTCAGCGAGTGACTTCAGTTTCATTGACAAAAAATTCGTACAACAACTTAATCTAAAAATATATGACGCTGGCTTATCTCTAATCTTGAGAGGAATAAACCAATCTGATGAACCGAAAAGAACGTCAAAATTTACGTATCTGCAATTCAACACAAATAATCGAAATAAAATACAAGTAAAATTCTTTATTGTTGACGGATTGGAGGAGGCCTTAGGATATTCATCGAATCCTAAGGAATTAAATCACTTGATACCAAAAGAAATAATGAAAAATTTGGCTGATCGATCTAATAATAAATTATCAGCATTAATTGGACTAGATCAACGTTATAAAATATATCGACCAAATAACATTCAAATAATAGAAAAATACGTTGTAATTGATACAATATTTGGTTTCATGATCTCCGGTAATGAATCAATAAATGCACGAACAACAAGAACATTTGCATGTGAGTTTTGTTGTATTTTGCATTTCATCTCGAAGGTCAATCCAAACATTATTAAAGATCGACGATGAATGATTCTTTTTCCCCCACCCATCTAAACGAAATGGCATAGAATTTTTTTTTTATTTAGAGAATGAAAAATTATTCCAATATTGTGGCCATCTTTTTTTTCGTTGTTCATTTTGACAATTTTTTTTTTTTTTTTTGCAAACAACATGAGCAATTTGTCGCCATCATCATTTGTTGTCGTTGTTGTTGTTGATGATTATGATTTACTTCCGTTTATTTGGCATGGGAATTTTTTTTTTTTTCTTAAAGACATACACATGAAAAACATCTTTACACCCTTGGGAGAGAATGTATCCAGAGAGAGAGAGAGAGAGTCCAAACTAAAGAAAAAAAAAAAATTACCAATTTATGTAACGAAACGCAAGCAAAACAAAAATATAAAAAAATACGAAAACATTGAATAACAAATGGCCAAACTAACCAACCGAATATTACAACAAACAAATATTACATACAGCCTAAAGAGATTTTTCTTTTCTTTTTTTTATTTCATCATTACTTATATTGACTAGCTCACAGTCTTTTTTTTGTGTGTGTGTGTGTATGTGTACTTATTTATCATCGTAATCTTTGTTTTTTCATCCATTTTTTTTCTTCTTCTGTTATCATTCTTAATTTGAGCTGTTGTTGTGTTGTGGAGCTATATGAATATGATAATTGCAATATATCCATGATGAGATGATCGATTTGAAATCGATATTTTTATTTATTTATTTTTTTTATTCTTTTTCTTTGAATCAACAACATTATTATTTTGAAAGCCGAAAATTAGAGAGAGAGAGAGAGAGAAATTGAATTCTTATTATAATCATCCAGAATAATTTTGTTTGTTGATTATTCCTGATTATTGATTAATTTTGCATATGAAACTAGAGTGTAAAATTCCTCACTCAAAAATTCTTATCTATGATATTGGAATTTATTCTCATCTATGAAAGTTCACTATTCAATTATTGGATCAATATCTTCAATATGATGATTTTTTATGGCAAAAAGAAAAAATTCACTGAATTTCCATCTGTTGTTTGATGGAAATTTTTATGCTCCTTTTTTTTGGTTCGACGATATTAGATTCTTTTCTTCATTGATGCTAAACACTTTAATTTTTCTCATTTTTTTTTTGTTTTGTTCTGTTTTTATTATCATCATCATTATCATTATAATAATGATGATGATGATGATGATAATGATAATGGCAACAACAAAAATTGCAGGAATATTGTTGATATAATTTATTTATTTCATATTTTTGTTTTATTCTTTAGATATAATCATCATCATAATAATAATGATAGCCACCATTGATCACATGATCCATGGGTGTGCGTTGATTGTATAATTTTCATCGTCAATGATGGTGTTCCTTGTTGTTGTTGTTGTTGTTGCGTTTCTTTATTATTTTCTCAATTTTGTTTCCATTTTATTCTTCGTTTCATCATCTTTCATTCATTCACGCACGAATATTTCTTTTTTTTCATTTTAAGCTTTTTTTCCATTTTTATAATGATAAAAGGAAACGTTCACAATGCTTGCGTGTGTGATATTGATCACATAGGCCGAAAGAGAGAGAGATAGATATGATTGTTGGAAAAAACGAATTGAACAAATTTTTTTTTGTTTGTTTCATTGGTTTCATGTTTCCTTTGTTGTTTGTGAATCCTATTTTGGTGCGTGTAGATCACTTTAGTTGTTTTTTATCATATCATTGATTATCAATATGATTGATCCATTATGTAAACGGAAAAAAATGTGTATAGAAAATCAAATCTGTAGTTTTTCAAGATTTTTTTTTCATTTCATTTCGTTTCTTTAGTTCGTATGTGTGTGTGTGTGTGTGTGTGGGTGGTGTGCATGCAAAATGAACATTTTTCTTCATCATTTCAAACACTGTAATCCTCACTTTTTCTCCATTTTTTTTGCAAAGATTAATCATCAAAAGATTTTCAATCATCGATTTGTGATGTTGATGATTTATAGGCTATCACATTCAGATTTTTTTTGAAGTAAAAAAACAATCATATGATTGATACGAAAACCAATTGAATGAATTTTGTCGATGCAAAATGGAAATTTTTGTCAACCTTGCTATGGATAGATTATATTAATCTTCACACAGATTCAACTGAAATGCTACTACATTTATTGAATGGTTGTCGAGTCGATTACAAAATTGACCTCCATTGAAGTATATTGACTAAATGAATCTGGAATCAAGTGAATGTAAACAAATATCGAACAACTGGAACAATCAAGAATTTCTCTTGAATCATTCACACACACACACACACAGTCATCACATGATGACGTATGTTCAAAGGAAAAACAAAATCACTCAACTAAGCAAGCAAGAAAAAAAAAGAATCAGAATCTTGTTTCATTTATATATTCTCTCTGTTATCTTGTTATATGATGAACAAGATTGTTGGTGTTGTTGTCATGTAATGATGATGATGATGATGATGATGCCAATAACAAAGATGATGTTCGTTCATCTTGTTGATGACGAAAAATTGATTAAGTTAATTTAGTTTGTTTTTTCTTTCATGGTTGTTGTTGTTGTTGTTGTTGTTGTTGTTGTTGTTGTTGTTATTGTTATTATTGGATCTGAATGAACAAAACGACAAAAACCGACAACAATTTGTGATTGTTTCATGGTTAACATGAAGAAGAGAAAAATAATATTAGTTTTTTTTTAGTCTGGTTACTGATGATGACATATCCGGATTCCATGATGATGATGAAACATATCAAGTGGTTGCTTAATGTTTGACGGTTTTTTTATATATATATACATTCACATTCGCAAAAATTTTTCTACGCAATCGGATCATTCATCATTATCATTGATTGAAATTCTTCACTGTATATAGGACTAATTCAATTTAAACATTGTCTCTCTCTCTCTCTCTTTCTCTATGTAGTTTTCACAGCATTATCAAATTTTTTCGTTTATTTTCTGACGGTTTTCTGTGAAAATTTAAAAAAAACAAAAAAACAAACAAACGAATCCGTGAAATTTTTTTTCAAACCAAAAAATCAATGTGAATACAATGTTACCATTAGAGATAATAAAAAAAAAAATTCATCATTATTCTGTTGTTGTTTACAAATACGAGAAAAAAATTTCAAATTCAATTTTTTTTTCGTTATTCTTTTCATTTTGAAGTTTTGATCAAAATTGGATTATAGAATACAAAAAATAAAATTCTTTAAATATCTAAATTGACGACTGGTGTACCATACCAATTTGGTTCCAATGCATATACCACAAGCATCACATTTTTTTTTTGATCCATCTGTAATTCACTGAAAAAAAACTGAAATGAAATAAAATTCTAGCTGTTTTTAATAATATCTAATAAGATTATTACAAGTTATTTTTTTTCCTTTTGATTGAAATAATAAATTTTTTTTTTGTTATTAATCTACAACAAAAACTACAAACTTTTTGAATTTTTTTTCAGTGCAAAAAGAAAAGATTATCATTCTCGTCCAAAATTCTGTGAAATAAGAAAGAAAAATGTACTAATATTGACTAGAAATGTAATAAATGTATATGATGTGATAGTCACGCCGTTACCGAGCTGAAATCCTGATGGTCGATTTAATTGAATATTTGTTATTGTTTCAAACTAATTTCAAATGATGAGAAATAAATTAACAGTAAAAAAATACACAAATTCGCAATATCTTACCTTGAATAATTGATAATTATGAAAAAATTTCCTTTCACATGTCGACGACAATGTTAAACATTTACGTTGTAATCGCAATATTTTCACATTATTCTGTTTAATCATATTGCAACCAATGATCAATACTGATAATGACATAAAATGTGCCTGTGTTCCCGCAATATACAGTGATAGAAATATAAAATTCTGTTCTGTCATCAAGATCAGATAAACTAAATATGTTATTAAAACCGTTATTAAAGTGAAAATGACCGATAGATAACGATTTAACTGTTGATTATAATCACGAATTTCGCGTTGTAACATAGCAAATGATTGATAATAATTTCCAATTATTTTTTCTAATAAAAATTGACGAGAATTTCGATGAATTCTCTGTTTACGCTCATAACGTACTAATTGTTCATAAAATTGTTGAAATGCACGACCTCGTGATTTTTGTCGCAAATTAATATAATATTGGGACATAAATATAATCGATGACATATGATATAAGCCTTTGAATTATTAATAATTATTCGAGATGAATCGATTAATGTGTACACTTACCTCCCATTACATTAATTCCGAATAGTGGGAAGATAAATATCCAGATAAATGTCCAGAATATTGATATTTGCCATGATAAATTTTGTATAGCCATTGTTATTATACCTAAAAGAAACAATATGCCAATGATTGATGATCCTATGCGTACCAAAGAAAATATACGATCTCTAATCAAAGCATATTTGTTGGAATCTCTTGTGGTCAATTTACGATATCTTCGATGTTGCATTGGTAATATAAAATAGTACTGTTGATAATATCTAGATGATGCATAAAAACCATTCAATAGACCATTTATTGTCCATATGATGAATGCAGTCATCAGATAATGTAATCCTTCGTTGGGAAATAGTCTAATCATTGCTTGATAAAATCGATAACTTTTAATCCATTCAAATTGTTCAATATAAATAAAAGCCATAACCATAACTGATATGAATGGGACGAAAAAAATTGGATGATGATGTGGTGGATTCATTATCTTGCCAATTGGTTTCTTATCGATTGGATAATTATTTTCAATGATTTGTTTTTGCATAAATTCATCATATTTGAAAATGTAAAAAAATTGATTATAAAATTTCCGATAATAATTGAATTTCATCAATTTTTTCCACAAATTTATCTCTAAATCGAGAATGGCATTCATCGTTGTTGTTGTTTTTCTCACCAAGTGATGATACTTGATGATGATGGTGATGATTGTTCATCAACCGAATGCAGATATGGAATTGTTTTGTTCTAGCTGTTTATAATATAATAATGTCTAATAAAATTATTTACAACAACGTACAAACTTTTGGAATTTTTTTTCAGTTCAAAAAAGAAAAGATCATCATACTTGTCCAAAATTCTGTGAAATAAGAAAGAAAAATGTACTAATATTGACTAGAAATGTAACAAATGTATATGATGTGATAATCACGCCGTTTCCGAGCTCAAAACCTGATGGTTGATTTATTTGGATACTTGTTATTGTTTCAAACTAATTTCAAATAATGAGAAATTGATTAACAGTAAAAAAATAAACTAATTCACCATATCTTACCTTGAATAATTGATAGTTATGAAACAATTTGCGTTTACATGTCGACGATAATGTTAAACATTTACGTTGTAATCGCAATGTTTTCACGTTATTCTTTTTGATCATATTGCAACCAATGATCAATACTGATAATGTCACAAATTCAAAGTATGCTATCACAATGTATAGTGATAGAAATATAATATTCTGTTCTGTCATCAAGATCAGATAAACTAAATATGTTATTGTAACCGTTATTAAAGTAAAAATGACCGATAGATAGCGTTTTAATTGTTGGCTATAATCATGAATTTCACGTTGTAACATATCAAATGATTGATAATAATGTCCAATCATTTGTAGTAATAATAATTGATGAAAATTCTGATGAATCCTCTGTTTACGCTCATAACGTGATAATCGTCCATAAAATCGTTGTAATGTACGACCGTGTGATTTTTGTCGCAAATTTAAATAATATTGGGCCAAAAATATAATCGATGATATATGATTTATGCCTTTGAATTAATAATAATTATTAGAAATGAATCGATTAATGTGTTCTCTTACCTGCAATGACATTAATTGAATAAATTTGCATGATAAATATCCAGATAAATGTCCAGAATATTGATATTTGCCACGAAAAATGTTGTATAGAAATTGTTATTACACCTAAAAGAACCAATATGCACATGATTGATGAGCCTATGCGAATCGACGAAAATAAACGATTTCTAATCAGTGTATATTTATTGGAATCTTTTGTGTTCAATTCACGATATCTTCGATGTTGTATTGGTAATAGAAAATGGTAATGTTGATAATATCGAGATGATGCATAAAAACCATTTAATAGAGCATTTAATGCCCATAAAATCATTGTAACCATCAGATAATGTAATCCTTCGTTTGGAAGTATTTTTATTAATGTTCGATAAAATTGATAATTTTTAATCCATTCGAATTGTCCAATATAAATGAATGCCATAATCATAACTGATAGGGATGGAATGAAAAAAATTGGATGATGAGGTGGTGGATTCTTTATCTTGCCAATTGGATAATTATTTCCAATGATTTGTTTTTGAATCAATTCATCATATTTGAAAATATAAAAAATTTGATTATGCAAAGTTCGATAATAATTGAATTTCATCAATTTTTTCCATAATTTTATCTCTAAATCCAGAATAGTATTCATCGTTGTTGTTCACGTAGAGTGGTGAGACTCGATGATGGGGATGGTGATTGTTTATCAACCGAATGCATATATGAAAATCAATTTCCTATATGCATTCGGTTGTTATATGTAATCAGACGCATTGAAAAAAAATATGAAGAATATACATTTTTTATTGTTACGGATCAAAACACACCCATACAGTTCAGAAGTGAGTTTTTCAGCGAACATTATATAAAATTTATGACTTTACTTTGAAAAGGTTCTATTTTTTATTGTCACGGATTAAAAATTAACCAATTCACTACCAAGCGGCACATATGTGTGCCGCTCAAATTTTCCACAATAGACCAGCGGCTCATATATGAGCCAAAAACACATGAAAAGTTGGTCTATTTTGAGACCTTTTTTCTGTCTATGGCGGTAGTGAATGGGTTAAAGTGCAAGTTTTTCAACAAAAAAAAATTATTTTGAGAATCTCATAAAATTTAAGACCTCACTTTGAAATGGTTTTTGTTATCTTTCTTTGAATAATAATGAAAAGTTGAAGGCTTCGATAAAAAAAGAAATATTGATTTTTATTGATTTAAAATTACGATCAAATTATCTGCAACGATGATTCTAATGATGATGATAACAATAGAAATGAAAAAAATAAAAAAAAAGTTGATGAACTGATTCGAATGAAACCAGTGATTGCTACAATTTCAACTACTATTTAGCAAATATTTAGAGGAAGGATCTTTTTTTAAGATTTTTTTTTGAATTCTAATTAAAATAACAATCTTCAGTCAAGTTGTTGTGAAATTCATCAAATAAAATCATCATTATCATCCAAAACCCTGTGTAATAAGAAAGAAAAATGAACTAATATTGACTAGAAATGTAACAAATGTATATGATGTGATAATCACACCGTTTCCGAGCTCAAAACCTGATGGTTGATTCATTTGAATACTTGTTATTGTTTCAAACTAATTTCAAATAATGAGAAATTGATTAATAGTAAAAAAATAAACCAATTCACCATATCTTACCTTGAATAATTGATAGTTATGAAACAATTTGCGTTTACATGTCGACGATAATGTTAAACATTTACGTTGTAATCGCAATGTTTTCACGTTATTTTTTTCGATCATATTGCAACCAATGATCAATACTGATAATGACATATAATGTGCATTTGCTATCACAATGTATAGTGATAGAAATACACTATTCTGTTCTGTCATCAAGATCAGATAAATTATATATGTTATTGTAACCGTTATTAAAGTGAAAATGACCGATAGATAACGTTTTAATTGTTGATTAAAATCACGAATTTCACGTTGTAACATAGCAAATGATTGATAATAATATTCAATGATTTTTCCAAATAAAAATTGACGCGAATTTTGATGAATCCTCTGTTTGCGCTCATAACGTGATAATTGTCCATAAAATCGTTGTAATGTACGACCGTGTGATTTTTGTCGTAAATTTAAATAATATTGGGCCAAAAATATAATCGATGATATATGATATATGGCTTTGAATTACAAATAATTATTAGAAATGAATCTATTAATTTAATCTCTTACCTGCAACAACATGAATTGAATATAATAGCAAAGTAAATATCCAGGTAAATGACCAGAATATCGATATTTGCCACGTTAAATGTTGTATCGACATTGTTATTATACCTAAAACAAGCAATATGCACATGATTGATGATCCTATGCGAATCAACGATAATAAACAATTTCTAAACAATGTATATTTATTGGAATCATTTGTGTTCAATTCACAATATCTTTGATGTAATATTGGTAATAGAAAATGAAAATGTTGATAATATCGAGATGAGGCATAAAAACCATTAAATAGAGCATTTAATGCCCATAAAATCGCTGTAACCATCAGATAATTTATTCCATCCTTGGGAAGTAGTCCAATATATGCTCGGTCAAATTGGTAATTTTTAACCCATTCGAATAGATACATATAACTATATGCAATAAACATAACCACTACTAATGGGATGAAAAAAATTGGATGATGATGTGGTGGATTCATTATCTTGCCAATTGGTTTCTTATCGATTGGATAATTATTTTCAATGATTTGTTTTTGCAATAATTCATCATAAAAATAAATGTAAAAAAATTGATTATGAAATTTCCGATAATAATGGAATTTCATCAATTTTTTCCATAATTTTATCTCTAAATCAAGAATGGCATTCATCATTGTTGTTGTGGTTCACACAAAGTTGTGATACTTGATGATGATTGTTCATCAACCAAATGCATATATGAAAGTCAATTTCGTATTATAAGTAATTAGACACATTGAAAAAAAAATATGAAGAATATACATTTTTTATTGTTACGGATCAAAAAACACACCCATACAGTTCAGTAGTGAGTTTTTCAACGAACATTACATAAAATTTATGACTTAACTTTGAAAAGGTTGAAAAGGTTTTATTTTTTTTTTTTTTTGTTGACTGCTACAATGAAAACGAAAATTATTGATTCAGAATTTCGATCAAATTATATGTGTGTAATAATGATGATAATAGAAATGTAAAAATAATTAAAAATGTAAAAAAAATATCCATTTTTTTTATTGTCACGGATTAAAAGTGCTAGTTTTTCACAACAACAACAAAAAATTATTCTGAGAATCTCATAAAATTTATGACTTCACTTTGAAATGGTTTTCGTTATCTTTCGTTGAATAATAATGAAAAATTGAAGGCTCCGGTAAAAAAAAAATAGAAGTACAATAATACCCCGCTTAAAGCGAGGGGGTTATGTTCCAAAAATTTTTTACCGTAAAGCGAAACAGCGCAAATCGGAACAGCATTAAGCAGGGTTTTACTGTATTGATTAAAAATTTTGATGAAATTAAGTGCAATAATGATTCTAATGATGATGACGATAATAGAAAATAAAAAAAAAGTTGATGAGTTGATTCAAATGAAACAAGTGATTGTTGCAATGAATTTCAACTACTATTTATCAAAAAGATCGTATTTTTAGGATTTTTTATTTTGAGTTCTTACTAAAATAACAACCATCAGTCAAGTTGTTGGAAAATGAAATAGAAACATTTCGGAATATTAAAGATGATGGTGATGAATGTATACAGACGATCTCGATCAAAATCCATGGAATTTTTTCCTATTTATCAATGTGAATACAATGTTTTTTTTTCTTGAAAAATTTCATCATTAATCTGTTGCTGTTTAGTAATACAAAAAAAAGAAAGAAATTCCAAATTTAATTTTTTTGTAATTCTTTTCACTTTGAAGTTTGGATCAAAATTGGATTATAGAATAGAAAAAAAATTCTTTAAATTCTTCTAGCTGTTTTTAATAATATCTAATAAAATTCTCATAGTTTTTTGTCTTTTAATTGAAATAATATTAATAATACATGATTCGTTAATCTACAACAACGACAAATTTTTTGAATTTTTTTTCAGTGCAAAAAAAGATCATCATTCTCGTCCAAAATTCTGTGAAATAAGAAAGAAAAATGAACTAATATTGACTAGAAATGAAACAAATGTATATGATGTGATAATCACGCCGTTTCCGAGCTGAAAACCTGATGGTTGATTCATTTGAATACTTGTTATTGTTTCAAACTAATTTCAAATAATGAGAAATAAATTAACAGTGAAAAAAAACACAAATTCACAATATCTTACCTTGAATAATGAATAATTACAAATCAATTTCCGTTCACATGTCGATGATAATGTTAAACATTTACGTTGTAATCGCAATGTTTTTGCGTTGTTCTGTTTGATCATATTGCAACCAATGATCAATACTGATAATGTCACAAATTCAAAGTATGCTATTACAATGTATAGTGATAGAAATATAAAATTCTGTTTTGTCATCAAGATCAGATAAACGATATATGTTATTGTAACCGTTATTAAAGTGAAAATGACCGATAGATAACGTTTTAATTGTTGGTTATAATCATGAATTTCACGTTGTAACAGAGCAAATGATTGATAATAATGTCCAATCATTTTTCCTGTAAATAATTGACGAAAATTTTGGTGAATCATTTGTTTACGCTCAAAACGTGATAATCGTTCATAAAATCGTTGTAATGTACGACCATGTGATTTTTGTCGCAAATTTATATAATATTGGGCCATGAATATTATCGATGATATATGATATATGCCTTTGAATTAGGAATAATTAATTAGAAATGAATCGATTAATGTCTCTCTTACCTGCAACCCCATTAATACCCCCTATTTGCAGATTAAATATCCAAAAAAATATCCAGAATATCGATATTTGCCATAATGATTGTAGAATAGTCATTGTTATTATACCTATAAGAAACATTATACACATGGTTAATGTTCCTATACGATTCATTGAAAATACACGATCTCGAATCAATGTATATTTATTGGAATCTTTTGTGGTCAATTCACGATATCTTCGATGTTGTATTGGTAATATAAAATAGAAATGTTGATAATATCGAGATGATGCATAAAAACCATTCAAAAGACCATTTAATATCCATATAATCATTGTAGTCATTATATAATGTAATCCTTCGCTGGGAAATAGTTTAATCATTGTTTGATAAAATTGATAATTTTTAATCCATTCGAATTGTCCAATATAAATAAAAGCCATAATCATAACTAATATGGATGGGATGAAAAAAATTGGATGATGATGTGGTGGATTCATTATCTTGCCAATTGGTTTCGTATCGATTGGATAATTATTTTCAATGATTTGTTTTTGCATTAATTCATCATATTTGAAAATGTAAAAAAATTGATTGTGAATTTTACGATAATAATTGTATTTCATCAATTTTTTCCACAAATTTATCTCTAAATCAAGAATGACATTCATCATTGTTGTTTACACTGTGTGTTGATATGATGACGATGATGGGGATTGTTCATCAACCGAATGCGAATATGGAATTGATTTTCATGGACAAAAAAAAATATTCATTTTTTTATTGTTTTGGATTTAAAATTTTCAGGTGTAAGTTTTTCAACGAAAAAAAAAATTATCCTGAAAATAACATAAAATTTATGACTTTACTTTGAGAAGGTTTTATTTTTCTTTATTTCAATAATAATAATATAATTTGATTGACAGCTACGATAAAAACAATATTGATTTAAAATTACAATCAAATTATGTGCAATAATAATGGTTATAATGATGATGATAATAATAAAAATGAAAAAAAATAAAAATCATAAAACATTGATAAATTGATTCAAATAAAACCAGTGATTATTGAAATGAATTTTTAAAATACTATTGAAATGATTGATCGTTTTTTTTTGGAGGAAGGAGTGGGGTTTTTTTTAAAAAATTTTTACTGATAACAATCGCCAGTCAAGTTGTTGTGAAATGAGAAAGAAAAATTGATGATGACGGTGATGAATGTATACTAGCCGGCTAACTCGATCGAAATCAATTAAATTTTTTTCTTATTTTTCAAACCAAAAATCAATGTGAATACAATGTTTTGATTGGAGAAAAAAATTTTTGTTAATCAACAACAACAACAAACTTTTTAAATTTTTTTCAGTGCAAAAAAAAAGATCATCATTCTCGTCCAAAATTCTGTGAAATAAGAAAGAAAAATGTACTAATATTGACTAGAAATGTAACAAATGTATGTGATGTGATAATCATGCCGTTTCCGAGCTGAAAACCTGATGGTCGATTCAAGTGAATATTTGTTATTGTTTCAAACTAATTTCAAATGATGAAAAATAAATTAAAAGTAAAAAAATACACAAATTCACAATATCTTACCTTGAATAATTGATAATTTTGAAAAAATTTCCGTTCACATGTCGTCGATAATGTTAAACATTTACGTTGTAATCGCAATATTTTTACGTTATTCTGTTTAATCATATTGCAACCAATAATCAATACTGATAACAATACGTAATGTCCATGTACTACCACAATGTATAGTGATAGAAATATAAAATTTTGTTCTGTCATCAAGATCAGATAAACTAAATATGTTATTAAAACCGTTATTACAGTGAAAATGACCGATAGATAACGTTTTAATTGTTGGTTATAATCATGAATTTCACGTTGTAACATAGCAAATGATTGATAATAATGTCCAATCATTCGTCGTAAGAATAATTGATGAAAATTTTGATGAATCTTTTGTTTACGCTCATAACGTAATAATCGTCCATAAAATCGTTGTAATCTACGACAATGTGATTTTTGTCGCAAATTTAAATAGTATTGGGCCATAAATATAATCGATGATATATGATATAAGCCTTTGAATTAGGAATAATAATTAGAAATGAATCAATTAATGTGTTTACTTACCTGCAATTGAATTAATTGTCCATAGTTGTAGGATAAATATCCAGATGAATGTCCAGAATATCGATATTTGCCACGAGGGTTGTAGTATGGTCATTGTTACTTTACCTAAAAGAAACAACATGCAAATAATGTATGATTCTATGCGAATAATTGAAAATACACGATCTCTAATCAATGTATATTTATTGGAATCTTTTGTGTTCAATTCTCGATATCTTCGATGTTGTATTGGTAATATAAAATAGAAATGTTGATAATATCGAGATGATGCATAAAAACCATTCGATAGACTATTTAATGTCCATATAATCAATGCAGCCATTAGATAATGTAATCCTTCGCTGGGAAATAGTCTGGTCCATGTTCGATAAAATTGATAATTTTTAATCCATTCAAATTGTTTAATGTAAATAAAAGCCATAATCATAACTGATATGAATGGGACGAAAAAAATTGGATGATGATGTGGTGGATTCATTATCTTGCCAATTGGTTTCTTATCGATTGGATAATTATTTTCAATGATTTGTTTTTGAATTAATTCATCATATTTGAAAATATAAAAAAATTGATTATGAAATTTCCGATAATAATCGAATTTCATCAATTTTTTCCATAATTTTATCTCTAAATCGAGAATGGCATTCATCATTGTTGTTGTTGTTCACACATAGCGATGATACTAAATGAAGATGATGGTGATTGTTCATCAACCGAATGCAGATATGAAATTGATTTTCATGGACAAAAAAGAATGAAGAATATTCATTTTTTTATTGTTTCGGATTTAAAATTACATTTCGCAAACAGACACTGTATAGGTGTGAGTTTTTCAACGAAAAAAAATATCCTGAATATCACATAAAATTTATGACTTTACTTTGAAAAGGTTTTATTTTTGGTTTTTTTTTCAATAATAATGTTAACTGCTACAATGAAAACAAAAATTATTGATTTAAAATTTCGATCAAATTAAGTGCAAAAATCATTCTAATGTTGATGATAATAATAGAAATGAAAAAATAAAAAATCATGAAACCTTTGTTTAAACATTAGCGATTTTTTTCACTTTCAATTTCATTTAATAAATAATTCGTTTATCAACAACAACAAATATTGTCCACAATAAGTGATTTCTTTCTATGTTTAACAGAGCAGTGAAAGTTTATGTCTTCAATTTTCGGTTCTTACATTTTAACCAGCCCGAGAACAGGCGCTTCGCGCCTGTCCTGGTCTGGCCCTGCGGGGCTGACTCCTTGACGGTCAATATAACTGGATACCCGCAGGGGTGGCGGCTGCGCCGCCCCCCCTGCTTGGTATCCAGTCAAAGGTATCAATCCTTGACGGTCAATATAGCTGGATACCCGCAGGTGTGGCGGCTGCGCCGCCCCCCCTGCTTGGCATCCAGCCAAAGGTGTCAATTTTAACGCTTCGTGCCTGACGGTGGATTTCTATGCACGGCGTTTTGCTTCCGGCTTTCGGTTTGGTACCGCAGGGTCAGCCATGACTTTTGTATTGTACCTGACACTTTTGAAAATGTTACGTAAATCCAACATCAACTTATCGATCAAACAGCATACTTATTATTGTTCATCGATATTGATAAGTTGGCGGAATACGATATTTTTGGTGTAGATGCTGCGATCGTTGTTGACCTTCAGCAAAATAGCACCTTGCTTTTCCTCAATTTCCTCAACAAAAATCTTAAGATTATTTGGATTTTTGCATTGGGAAAGAGCCACATACATCATTCCATGTTGGAATACTGGTGTAGGAAGGTATACACCTACTTTTTCGAAAGATTGCCCTTGAGACTTATTAATTGTCAGAGCAAAAGCCAACACCACAGGAAATTGTCTACGCACCAATTTGAATGGCAGTTCAGGATCTTGATCGTTTTGTTGGAAAATGATCCGAGGAATCAGAGCCTCCGTGTTTTTGTGCGTTCCTGTCAATATGAGATCAGCCAATTTTGCTGAATACAATGAATGGCTTCTTAAATTGGGCAACGGTACACTTCGAGCTGAATCATCTCGAATCACAGATCCAGAATACTTTCGTATTCTAAATCCAAATCATAAAAAATGATGATTTCATCATCAAATACTCACTCACACAGGCACACAAAATGAAAATCACGTGTGTCACATGTATTATCACAATAATCAATTCGAAAAATTCGAATTCGAACTCTTTCTATGTTCTATTGAATGACTGCACCATCTATTGGATGCAAAAGCTGCAGCAGAGCTAGAACAATGAAAAAAAGCTTTGTCAAAGCTACATACCACAGAATGCGTTTCTTTGGAAGCGACTTCTACTTCTGAGCTGGACGAACTGTTCAGCGGCATTCAAAAGTTTTCCCGCATGCTCAGACACACACACACAACACACACTGAGTAGCTCATACCAAATAGTTAGGTTTGTACTGAAAATAAGCAGGAATGGCCGGCTCAGCTTCGCCGCAGTTTACACACATCCTTAGCGTCATAGTATAGTAGATCTGGTATTATCGCCGCCAACAACTTTAATATAAAACGGAAAGAGGATAGAGAGAGAGAGAGAAGAGAGAGAGAGAGAGAGAGAGAGAGAGAGAGAGAGAGAGAGAGAGAGAGAGAGAGAGAGAGAGAGAGAGAGAGAGAGAGAGAGAGAGAGAGAGAGAGAGAGAGAGAGAGAGAGAGAGAGAGAGAGAGAGAGAGAGAGAGAGAGAGAGAGAGAGAGAGAGAGAGAGAGAGAGAGAGAGAGAGAGAGAGAGAGAGAGAGAGAGAGAGAGAGAGAGAGAGAGAGAGAGAGAGAGAGAGAGAGAGAGAGAGAGAGAGAGAGAGAGAGAGAGAGAGAGAGAGAGAGAGAGAGAGAGAGAGAGAGAGAGAGAGAGAGAGAGAGAGAGAGAGAGAGAGAGAGAGAGAGAAACTGGCCAACACACTAATGACGACGGAATTATTAGATTTTTTTTCTACCCAAATTGAATTCTCGATGTTTGTTTGTCTATTTTCTCTTTCTGTTTATATATCGTTGCTTTTTTTCATGTGTGATTGTTGAGTATTGTTGACATCACTTTCTCACACACTTTTCGAATCATTTGATTATAAAGATTCATCTGAAATTCTTTCTCACTGATCCTTATTTTTCTGTGATTGGAATTTTTTTTTGTATTCTTTCTTTTTTTCGCTTTTGGCATCTTATTCTTGCCAATTCCAATATCAGTGATGGTTTATGCAAACTATCAACGATAGATTGATTTATATAGATTTGATTTTGAAAATGTTGCTGCTGTTGTTGTTTTGTGTTTGTGAAATATTCGTGCCAAAGCATAAAGCATACAGAATTTGATTTAAATTTTTTTTCTCGTTCGTTCGCTTCAATGATTACATGAATCGATTTTATTTGATGAAATTTTGTTCAAAAATTTTTTTTTTCACACCAAGAAATTTTATTGGAAATTTTTGAAAAAAATTTGTCACTTTTTTCCGAAAAAACTGCTCGACTATGAATTTACATTTATAATCAATCGATTGA